TTTAAGGTTGTTCTCTTCTGCTTCATGTGTGTTGGCATGTTCAGGTCTTGCTGGTGTAGAGTCCCTAGACTCTGGTGGTGTCATATTAGTTTTTCTGTTGTTGAATGTGTTATTATATTGTCATCTTCTTTCAGTGGGTGCAGGTGTGTTCTCTTTCTCTCCTGGTGAGTATGGGTCCAAGGTTCTCTTCAGGTGGATATAAGCAGGTCCAGTACTCTGATGGGTCTCATGATGGGTGCAGGAAGGTATGAGAAATACCCTCTCTCAGTGGGGGGAGGCTGGACTAGCACTGCAATACCAGAAGACTCTGGATGGCTTGATTTGCCTGGGCAGAGTCACCCTGCCTGCAGTCCCCAGGCCAGGAGATCCCAAAGAGGGCAAGAGGAAATCCATCCTTTGTTTCTTTTATGGATCCTTTCTCTCTTCTTTACTGCAGGGTTTCTCTGGAGTAGCCATTTCTCTCAATATATTGTGAGACAAATGACTTGGAGAAATCTTTTTTGGTATGTCAACTATAGTCTGCTGGATTGAGTGAGAATGTATGTTGTCATCTATGATAACTTTGTTGAGGATCCTTACTGAAAAGGAATTAGCCTAAACAATTGGGTAGAAAGGTGGAACTAGAAGGAATAAAACTTCATGGTCCTTTGGTACTAGGACCAGAATTACAAGTGATATATATTTCAGTATTACTAATTGATTTTAATTTATGTAACACAAGGAAATGCAAATGATTGAGGTAGAAAAATTGCTAAGGGACATGTACATATATATGTATACATACTTGTTAAATTATCTAGATTACAATTAGCCTCTGAGAATTTATGTGAGGGATTATCTTCATTATGTGAATTGATTTGGAAAACTATTCAAACTGTGGGCAAAACTTTGGCCTGCATGTGGTTCTTTACTTGCACAGAATGGAAAAAGGGATCTGAGCTCTGTCATCCTTCAGTCTGTATCTTAGTTGTGGTTGTGATGTGATCAGCTGTTTCAAGCTCCTTTTGCTGTGTCTTCCAAGTTATAATAGTTGTATCCTTCAACTGTATTCCCAAGCAATCTATGTTCCCATTTGAGGGATAAAAATTACTCAACTTTCTTTTGTAGATGTTCTACCACTGCAACAAAGAGAGACAAAGACAAATCCTTGTGAGCCTCGATGTTATATTTTTATTGATGTGGTTTTTCAGAAATAGAATCAGGCTCTCCAGTCATGATGGAAAGGCAAACTGGATTCTGCATCAATTTGTTCCCCCTACTCCTAATACATGAAGTAAGAAGAGAGAAGAGAAAGATTAACTACAATCTCCTCATTTCAAATGAAGTAATTTTTGTGTATACATAATTCGTTTTCCATCTCAAGTTGAAAGAACAACAGTCTTTACAAGGCTCTAGGAGTCCTTAGAAGCCATTGAAAAAATCCTCTTTCTCCCACTGCCATCCTCTTCCTGAGTCATATCCTTAAGCAGTACACAGGTTGTTATTTTTACAGTGAATTTTCACACTCTCCATCATGTCTTTTTTACTCATAATGCATTTGTTGGGCTGGGGAAATGTCTCATTATTTAAGAGAACTCACTGGATGCTCTTCCAGAGGATCTCTGTTCAATTCCCAGTCCCCACATTGTGGCTCACAATGATCCATGATGCCAGTACTAGGGAATCTGACTCCCTATTCTGTCTTCTATTTGCACCAGGCATGTATCCTGAACAGATATGCATCCAACCCCCAAGCCCATAAAAATATAAAAATCAAAAAGTAGATGCTCTCATCATCTCTATTTCTCTACAAGTATGCCATCCATGTCTGTTGAACCTGATGGGTCACTAATGGGTTGATACTAAGTGATTTTGGAGTTGGTGGCAAAGAGCCCTCTGCTATGACAGGCTGCTTCTCCAACCTCATCATCTTACACAGACTCCGAGAATCTGCACAGCCCCTCCTTAAAGAAAATGCATGCAACACTCTGGGCTCCTTGACCAGGTGTAGGGGAAGCTGTAGCCACGCCTTCTTCGTGGCTGGCTACAGGCGTGCCTGACCATGCTTCTGAGGGCGTGGTCAGAGTGACATAGTGTGATTGCGTTTGCGGTTTCGGTTTCAGTTTCTCTTTGCTGCTTGCGGTACAGACTGCTGATCCACCGGCTGGCTAGGTCGCTCTGCAAGTAAGGCTTTTCCCTATTAAATACCCTTATATTTCTACCTGACTCCATATTGGTAATTTCCCACTATAACCAGGGCAGATTTTCTCATGGTTGTCACTCTTGTATGTATCTTGAATGCACTACCACATCTTCAGTTACCATGTTGCTAGTTTAACAATGAATAATATGCTAAGGTATTATATGAGGTTATGAAAATCTTCCTTTAACTACTGTTTCTTGTCATGGATATTGGGTAGCCACAGACTCTCATCCAAAAATAAAGATTCTCTGTGATGGAAGAGAAAAGCTGAGTTCAGCTGTGTACTGTCTCATGTTAGTATGAATCAATGACTAACATTCCCAGGGCCTCCATATACAGTGGTGTCCATAGAAGAGGATGCTGTATCCCATGTGCTCATGGCTATCAACTTCAGACTCCCTGATTCCAAAGCATATTGATCAGTATTTTTTTAGCAGGCAGGTTTATATTCCATCTTTAATCACAGCCCTCAGAATCTAATACATCAGGACACACTGTGAAAAGTTGATACATAACCAAGTATCATATGGCTTTTATATTATACATAATATAACACAGATTTTTAAAAAATAATTTTAGCCCGAATGGTCTCTTCTTATATACTATGAAAAGCACATGACTAATGGCAGGAGCCTTTGGATTTGTAAGACCCCAGTTTTGCCGGGCATTGGTGGCACACCCATTTTATCACAGCACTCAGGAGGCAGAAACAGGCATATCTCTGTGTGTTTGAGGCCAGCCTGGTCTCCAGAGTGAGTGCCACAATAGGCTCCAAAGCTACACAGAGAAACCCTGTCTCGAAAAACAAAACAAAACAAAACAAAACAAAACAAAACAAAACAAAAAACTTTCTCAACTTACACACCATCTCTCTCTTTTGATGGTGTGTTACCAGTTTACAGAGGAGATTTGAATATGCTTATCAGAAATAATTTCACATTCTATACCTGAAAAGTAGATGTAAAAAATTATGTATTTCTTGAAAAGTGAGAGGGAAGTGCAAGTTGCTTAAATGCATATTTAATTTCCAATAATATTCTTGGCTTAATGCTAACTTGTTAACAGATAAATAACTTCAGATATCAAATGACATGAGCTTCTTTGTAACCAGTTGATTAGTGATGTACATTTTTGAGTGATTGTCTCCATGCCCTGATTAGACTGGCCTAGAACTTGCTATGTCCCCCAGGCTGGCCTCAAACTTATGATGCTCCTGCTTCTGTCTACCCAGTTCTGTGATTAAAGGTGTGAATGTTGCCTTCTTGCCATGGTATTTTATTTATTCCTTTATTTTTCTCTTTCTTATTCTTTATACATAATACTGGCTTTATAATTTCCTTCACATATACTTTCAGAGACCACTAACCAGGATTCCAGTCAGTTTCTGTGATTTCTGTTATTGTTACAGATTTTCATTTATACTCAATCATTTTTCTCCATTTGGATGGCAAAAATCTCTGGTGTTGAGTTCCACTGGTCTCTGTAAAACTACTACTTGAATTAGGATGGCTGTACCTGCTTCTGGGAAGCTCTTTTCCTTTTCACTATATCAGCAAGTCCATCTTAACCCAGTTTCAATACTGCTAATTTCTAGATTGCGGTAGAATATGCATTTCTGGAATAAAAACTTTTGACAGTGTTGGTCTTCATGCATAACTTCTTGAAGAAATCTTGCTTATTTCATTCCCCTTCTATTCCCCCATTCAGAGCCTTCTTTCCATTTTCTGAAATTGTATGGATGATGTGTGTTAGTTTCTGTTGGGTTTACCTTTGCTTCAAGATTAAAGTTCCTCTGATCTGTTTTAATTTAATGCACCCAGGATTTCCACAGAGCTAATATGGACTTCTGTTTGCATCTCTGTTTCATGTTTGGCCCAGAAATTGCATTCCAAATGCCCTTAGTATAAGAGCTGCTTTGGAGATGGGAGATATTGAAAAAAAAATAGCATCAACTCTCTCAT